AGAAGGTACCTCTCTAAGGCTTTTAAGAGAGTTCTTTGGATGCTTGCTGTCTTTTGCTCTGTTCTTTTTTCACAATCATCCTACACTAATCGAAGAGTCGAGCAGGTTTTCTCAAGTTTTTTCAGAGCATATCTATGATTGCATTGCTATTTTTTTATTTCTCTTTTAAAGTTTTTCTTTTTTACTTCTCCAGAATTTCTGGGATTATTTTGGGGCCTGGAAATGGAAGCATTTGTACAAGATGTTATTGCTGTAGGTGTGGTGGTATTTTCCTAAACTTGGGGTTTTCTAAAACCCAGGAAACCGATCAAGGATTCTAACAAAGAAATATTTCTGTTTCTGAATATGTTTTTGCTAACTTTGAATAAGTAAAATCTATTTTTCTTGTATTATTTAAAAACCTGGGAACTGCTTGAATGAATGTTGTATTTAGTTTTGGCTCCAGGTTGTCATTTTTTACCCTTAGGTCCCTGAAAAGACATAGCTGAGTTTGGGTGTATGCTACATGCTTCGTCCTCCATAGATCCTTATTCTCTCTTCCATTCATTTTCTCTGTCTCATGTGAAAACTGTGGAAATAAATCCTCCACCACATACTTGTTTTTGTCATGATCTCGGCACTGATTCTGGGCTGATAACTCAGTCCATACACCTGCTCTGCTCCATCTGCAATCAGCTCTCACCGGCTTCACCTGTTTCCATCACTATATAATCCCCATCAGACCAGTCCTCAGTGCCAGATTATCTCATACCAACCCAATAAATGAATCCAGCGTAATCTAAGTTATCTGTCTGCCCGCCTGTTAACTGACCCATTCTGTGGCCTGATACCTAGCCTGCCTGATCCCATTCTAACTCTCTCTACCTGCCTGGATATCATCTCAGTTCTGCCTCTGGACCTCTGAATATTTAAATCTGTCTGACCCGGACTGCCTGCGCACCTCTCTGAATCCCGAGACCCGAGTAGCTCCGCAAAAACTGTCTGCCTTCCCCCCTCTGGATCACAAACCGGTGAAGTTTCACAATCTGCCTGCCAATCCCCTGCCGCCTGCCTGCTACTCTTGAACTCTCTTAAACTCCCACTCACCAAATATGCTTTTTAATAAACTGTGTTACAACGTCACTGACCTGTCTTGGTTGTATTTGGGTCCAGCCTCTGTCTCTTACAGTTTTTGTTGACATTATTTTCGGATCAAGACTCTGGTGCAGCAGCAGTACGTACGACAGGAGAACTGAGTTTATTTGAAGGGTTTTTATTGTTCAGACTGGAAGCAGAGAAAACAGGAAATCCAAAGCGGTGTCTCACTGCAAAACAGGCCAGGTGATCAGTATGAGTTCCACCTGATGTTGAGATGAACAGTGAGGGCAGACTTACTTCTCAGGTCTTGGAAACAGGTTGAGAGGGGGTGAAGACCTTGGAGTTACCAGGTTCTTTAGGCGTTGGAGGGTGGACAGGCAGGTGAGCTCAGTCTTGAAAGACAGCTCTTTGGGAGGAGTGGAAAGCACCGTTGAGGGAGGAACAGGAGCCAGCCTTCAGCAGGAGGAAAACTAAAGGAAAACAGAGACAAGACTGGTAAGAAGAACAAGTTCAACTAACTTGGAAGTTTACTGTAGGTTACCATCTTTCGTCTGCCTCAGGGAATCCACTCCTCTAAATACTGCTTCCTTGATTGTGGCTGATGAGTAACAGCTGGGAGCCTCACCTGCCTGGCACACCCTGAAAATGAAGGTGAGAAAACAGAAACAAAAAACTCCAAACCAAAGCAGCTCTGTGGACACAACATTTGTCATCTTGTATACACAGTGTGTATACAAAACTAAATTTCGATGCATACAGCTTTTTAACAATGAATGAGCAGCTTGCAACCGTGAAATGAACATTACCATTTATAAAGTGCAGCCCACCTGCCCCCACCCATCCTCACTACCTCCTCACTACCTTCTACAGAAGCACCATAGAGGCGTTCTGACCAGCTGTCTCACTGTGTGGTGTGAAGGCTGCAGCGTCTCAGACTGGAAGAAGGTGAGAAGAGTGGTGAGAACAGCAGAGAAGATCATCGGGGCTCCTCTTCCCTCCATTAAAGACATTTCATCCCAGCGCTGCTTGTTCTGAGCCCGTAACACCATAAATGACCCCCCCCACACACCCCCAACATGGACTGTTCTCCCTGCTGCCCTCTGGAAAGAGACTTTGATGCAGGTCCATCAGATTCCAGAACACTTTCTTCCCCACTGCCATTAGACTGCTAAATGTTATGTAAAATGGGTTATAAAAATAAAAAAAACCTGAATGTTAGAACTGTAACTATACAGCCATATGTTTATCACTTTTTTTATCACAATGTTTTTATCACTGCTGCTTACCTTACCAAGGCTGCACTTTAAAAAAATGAAATAGTCTACAGAGCTGTACTAATGCTCTCTAATGTCTAATCAATGATCCTCTCTTCTGTCCTCACCACTCGTCTCAGGTTCTTCCAGTCTGAGTTGCTGCAGTCTCCACACCACACAGTGAGACAGCTGGTCAGAATGGTCTCTACGGTGCTTTTGTAGAAAGACGTGAGAATGGGGAGTGGCAGGTGGGCTCTCCTACAACTCTCAATAAAACCACATGGTCAGTAATGCACCCTGTGCTGTGCTGGACAACACCTCTGTTAGTTGCATTTTTCAAAAATAAAATGTGAGCGGAAGTTAGACTCAGCAATAAGTTGAAAATGTTTCAGAACTAAGAGTTGGCCTTTCTATTATAACCAAGTAAAAAAAACTAATTGGAATTTTACAAAAGTGACCTGGCCAAGAGTAGCCTGGGTGCCATTCCGAACTTAGTCCCGCCCACAACGTTTGAGGTCGGGAAGTTCGGTCTGGCATTGCTCAACAGTAGCGCGAGTATGCTAGCACAATATCTGGCGGGCCAATCAAATTGTCAGGGCGGGCTTTATACGACGATGGACAGATGATCAACAGGAACGAAATCAACCACGTGACCAAAGAGCGCTTGGGTGACAACAACAATGGCTGCCGCTGGAGAGTTGGGGTGAGTAGATTCTGCTATTAGGTCTGTTCTAGAAGATATCGACAGCAAATTAATTTTAAAAGAGGAACAGAGAAACACGATCAAGGCTCATCTTCCTATTATAGTCGTGCAACTGCACGCTTTGATTTTTGTTGACAACAACTATGCCTCGCTTAACATACGTCACGCACTCCGTTGATCTTATTGGTTGTAGATCTATCCAATTGAGTGCAGAGGCATTTTTTTTTCCTGGTTCGTTCAAAACACGCCCCATAATCGCAGCTCTATGGAGCAGTATCAGACTCATATTCTGACTAGAATTGAGTAGGACTACGTCAGGCTAGGCCAAGAGGGCAGCAAGATCATAGTTACAACAGTAAGGGACAGAATCAAAAAAGCAGTCAATTGACCAATAGCACTAGTTTCGTGTTTCTTTTTTAAATTTTCCCAATCTAATAAGATTATTTAAGTACATTTTTTAGATTATTCCAAGAGAAAGGGGCAGCATTTTTCAAAGATGTCTTACTCAGTTATGTTCTGACCCGAGGAACTGTAATTTGAACGGTTTGTTGGGAACGCAAGCCACACTGCAATTTGTGTTTGCACATGGGATAAAAACGGAGAAGCTCAATATTACATTTATTTACAAGCATGAACCAGTGTGTAAGTCTAAGAATATAAAGAGGTGGATACACTACAGCACTTGACAGCATACAGAGTACAATGGTGAACATGATTTCCACAGCCAGTACTAAAACACATGGTACACACTATGCAATTTCATATGCGTTGTTAAGGTGATTACCATCATAAAACATAGGTAGAAAAGTTGCAGAAACAACTGAAACAACTTAAAACCTCAAACAAGGCCCTCAATATGTGGCTTAAATTACAGGCCTTTCTCAGTTATAATTAAAATCAACCCTAACTGAATTTTTGAAGCCTCTCTGATTTTAACCTTGGGATGATTAGAGGGTAACTGTTTCCCCAAGTGAAAAAAAAAACATGACTTTGGACTTATCTGCATTTAACACCAAATTTTGCTGCGTCAAATCAAGACAGCAAAAAAAAAAGCAAATTTTAAAAATGCAAATGCCTGTTCAATTGAAGTAGATGAACAATAGATGACTGTGTCATCTACATATAAAAATAAAAAAGGGGCATTTGACACGTTATGACAGAGCTCATTAATATAGATTTAAAGCATCAGTGGGCCTAGAAGAGAACCAACAAATCGCTTCAGTACGAAACAGAAATCACAGTTTCAAAAACAGAGTGTTGTGGTCCGCAGCATCGAAAGCCTTTGATAATTCAATAAAAAGTGCAGTGCAGTTTTTTTTTACAGTCCAGAGCCTCAATAAAGTAATTTACAACCAGTTATTTTACTAGGTCCTTTTCTAACAACAGACTAATTATTGGATAAAACCGTATTTAATTCCAGGGCATTTCTAAACAGTTCAGTAACAAATGTTAATGACTCCTGCGAGTATGCATAATTTTAATATGGGCAGGTAGTTATCAGGTACTGTTTATTTAAGAGTGGAGCTTCACTTTCCATGGTTTCATCACAGCCAGATTTGTAGTTTGTGTCTAGCATGGGCATTTCTAAGTAGTTTTGTTATTTATGTGCATGGTGTACTTCACCACTCATCGATTGACTGCTAGAGACACCAGCAGTCTCCCAACTTTGCAAAAATAGAGCAGCGACAGAAAATAGATGAAATAATAAGTCTCAAGAAACATTAATCTGTCCTAACATCTGTGTTTTCACTTGTCTTTTAATCATCCACTTTCCTGTTTTGTTTTTTAAGGTATACTGGATACAGTGCCAAGGTACGCCAAGCTTTTATATGAGATGTTGTTTTCTTTTTTGGGAATATTCATCTAAAGAAAAATGGAATTCATTACTTCTTTGAAGGCTTGTGGTTATAATTTGACATTCTTTCTTCTATATTGTCTGATATTGTCATAAAACGGGACAGATGGACCTAGTATTCAAGGTGAGACAATCAGTAGAAAAGTACAAAACATTTATTAAAACAAAAACTTAAAGAGACAGAACAGAAGCGCAGAGCTGATGTGGATCTGTGGACCTGCAGCCAGGAACCGCCCAAACATTGACTCGCTGGAGGGAAAAAACCCAGGTAAGTGACCACAATCATATGACAGGAGATGATTCTCCAAGTGAGGCACTTACCTGGTTTAACAGTTCAGTCCATCCTCTCAATAATACGCAGGATCAGCCCATGCACTGCCAATGCGATGCAGCTCTATGCCCTCCAGAGCGTCACCGATGCAGCAAGCAGTGAGCAGGCAGGACTCCAATCCAGGACAGGGATTCAGATCAGACTGGAGTAGATCTTGAAATCCAGGAGTCCGCAGTCCTGTCAGGGGTTCCGATCCACACAGGAACAGACAGATCCGGGTTCCAGGGATCAAACAGAGCATGAAGGCAGGTTCAGAGTCCCGTGCATCGAGCAACCAATTCAGACATAAACACACAGACAGGCAGAATCCAGCAGGAGTCCAAAGGTGGTTCAGATCAGACGGGGACAGACAGGGCCAGTGGGTGAGAGGGAATGGAATCAGGAGATAAGAATCACAAAGGAAACTCTGAAACATTCTCACCACTGGCTAGGGAAAAAACTCACCTGAAGAGGTTGGCTCCAGAATAATCTCCAACTGGAATCGGGGACAAGAACCTTAGACTAACTAAAACTTATGAAAACAGAACATAAAGACATCTAACAGGAAACAACCAAACAGCAAACAATGATCTGGCCCCAATAGCTGGAAAAGAGCCCAATATAAAGGAACAGATGCAGGTGGATGAGATTGGTGATAATTGGAGACCAGGCAGAGTTACGCAAGAGAAAGGCATGAACCATTAAGGCCAGCTATCAGGGCAGATCATGATAGATATTTGTTTACAGCACAAGTAGTAACATTCAAGGGACATTGTGCAACTAATTGAACTGATATTAGCTAAATTTAGGTATTGCTTTTATCAATACATTTTTCTCAAATGTCTAACAACATCTTATCAAAAATAAAAGTGTTCCCCTAGCTTAGACTAAGCTGTTTATCAATAGATAGGCGGTGGTGCACTCAATAGAAGACACCATGTTGCGTCGCCATCTTTGCCTCACCATCTCACAATAGACAAAGGGGGACAAACAAGTTAGCCTTGCATGTTTTACCTAAATTTGAGCACATGCTGTTGGTGAAGGAAGAGTGTAAAACACAAAAAGATTCCAATAAACCATTCTATTTACTGTTTTTTGTAGAAATGGGAGACCATCCATACTCCTCACCCTGGAAGAGGGAACATACAAAGAGACTATGTCAGCATTCATGAGGGAGCGGGTCTTCAAAACAGATACAGGGGATTCAGGCTGTCCGTTTTGCAATAGCGCCACACTCCTTATGTGTCTGTTGTTGTAAAGTTATTTACAGGAAGGTTAGAGCTAAATTTGCAAATACTTACAGCAGTCGATCAATTCACAAAGTGGTTTGAGGTTTATTATCAGCATACAGACATGATGATGTTCACCATGCTAAAGCTGGGCTCCCATTTTATGTAATAGCTTTTTGGATCTTTGCAAAGATGCCCTTTTATCATTCCCCTAGCCAGTTGATTTTACTTTTACATGCTTTTCATTGTCTCAAGCAGTTTGCTTTGAGCTCAAACCTTAAAGCTTTATTATTAACATTTCCATTTGAACAAAGCTTCTTCACCTGACAGTAATGTAAATGGGGACCCTTTTTGTAATAAAACATCACACGGCTCTTAGACTGGATGGTAATGCCTCTGACCACAAACCAAGCAGGAATTAGAGGAAAACGATGGAGACCAGCAGATGGACAGAGTTCACTGTATCACAAGCTGAGTGGACGCATTATGTACCTCAGGAGCAGATGAACTCTAATAATGACATGACTAAATTTCATCAAATATATATCAAGATTTGAAAAACAACTCTGAAAATATACAAGATGTAGTTTCCTATTCATATTTTAAGTGGGAAAATATGTCCAAACCAACCTGGCCCTGTTTCAAATGTTAATTCTGCCCCAAATCCAACAAAGCACATGACAAAGCTGGGAACAAATCTTCTACATCTGAAATGTTGTCCTTCTTTTCTTACAGAACTGTTTAAACTCATTTGCTTTCAATGCTTTTTCAACAGCCCTTTTTAATATTATGATACAGCATCTATGTATGGCTGTATGTGAGTTAGAATTGTTTAGAGCCCAGCTTTTTGGTCTTCCCAATATTAAAACAATATTGATATGGGTCAATCTGGATTTTGAATTCCCTTTGTGATCATTTGCTACATTATTTTCCTAATTTATGGCTAAATGCTTCCACAGTTATATTTTGTTGCTCACTTTGGTTTGAAGAAGGAGAGGTTAATCTATTGACCTGCAAGTAAAATTAGACAGTCAGCATTAGCAGATACCTTTCTAGCGGAACAGGTTGATCTTCCCCAAATACATGAGTCCAAGCCCTACCCAAACTTAGTTCATTAGGGAAATGTTGATTATTACATTAGCATATAAAAAAGATGACTTACCAGTTACGCAGTTCCCAAAGTGGCTGTAGTAGGTGAGCCAGGTGATGAAATAATAACTGGAAATATACCGCCAAGTAGTTGCTACACAAATTAATGTTGAAGATAAGTGAATGATTTGGCCACATAGTGTATTTCCCTGTTTCAGGCTGTAGGCATTCCAATCTGGTGGGATGAAATGTTAAATTATTTGTGTCAAGTAAAAAAAAAAAAATGCTGCATATGAGTTTACAAAGTCAAAATAAAATAATGGAGTCCTTGATGTGCACATTGACATCAATCACGTGCTTCTATTGTTTTCAGTTTTTCTGGTGACTCACTGAAGGCTTTCAAAATGATTAAACTGCTTATTCACACAAAAATAAAATGTGTTTTTTTAGCCTCCCAT